CCCCCCCAACCCCCCACCCACACCCCACTGTAAAGACACCAGAAACTTTAAAAACGGCTGGAAAAGAAGTAGTCTTTTCTGATCTTGATAATTGTGCCTGAGAGCATATTCACATTCATTTTTGTGACTTGCATCCCTGAGAGGCATAGTATTGAAATTTCATAGTTTGGGCCTTAACACTCAGTTAACAAGGTTTTAAGCAAAATGCATCAAACTTAGTACAAGATGATGGCTTTTATCATTGTCAACTGTGAGAAACTTATAATGTCATGCACTCGATAGTCCAGATGATACCAATGACAGGAAGTAAATTCTCCATGGTCAAGGAGCATCAAATGCACTGTGGAAATATGAGACAAATAGTTTGTTAGAATAGAATAGGAAAATACAATCCTACACAAACTAGGTATAGTTTATAGTCTCCTATTTGGTAAGGAATTATATTATATAGTGTCTATAAATAGGGTTCTCTATGTAATTATTAGAACAACAATTCAATAATATTTTTCACATATATATTTCTCACATGGTATCAGAGCATTGGTAAGAAAAAAAAAAATTAAAAAAAAGTCAGAATCCGGTGACTGTCAACGGCTGGTTTGCATTGTTGTCTTGTTTTACAAGTATAGTGCCACCACTCCTAACTTATCATCGACGTCCACTTCCAGCAATAGTCTCAAATGATTCATGTCATGCGCCGGACCCTGCTCCCACTATGGCCGTGCCCCCTACTAGCCAATCGATTGCACTTCAAAAAGGTATACGATCTACTCGAAATACTAATCCCCATTATACTTTCTTGAGTTACCATTGTTTATCTTCACCCCATTATGCCTTTGTATCATCTTTGTCCTCTATTTCCATCCCTAAGACTACAGGAGAAGCACTTTCTCATTCTGGATGGAGGCAGGCTATGATTGATGAGATGTCTGCTTTACATTCGAGTGGTACTTGGGAGCTTGTCTCCTTCCTACAGGTAAGACTACTGTTGGTTGTCGTTGGGTTTATGCGGTCAAAATTGGTCCAGATGGTCAAGTCGATCGGCTTAAGGCTCGCCTTGTTGCTAAAGGGTATACTCAGATATTTGGGCTAGATTATAGCGACACTTTCGCTCCTGTGGCCAAAATAGCATCAGTCCGTCTTTTTCTATCTATGGCTGCCGTTCGTCATTGGCCTCTTCATCAGTTGGACATTAAGAATGCTTTTCTGCATGGTGATCTAGAGGAAGAAGTCTATATGGAGCAACCACCTGGTTTTGTTGCTCAGGGGAGTCTAGAAGCCTTGTATGTCGATTGCGTCAGTCACTGTATGGTCTGAAACAGTCTCTTCGAGCTTGGTTCTTTTCGAAAGCATGAACACATAGTCACGATTTCACAGTAATTCAGGAGTTTGGCATGACTCGTAGTGGTGCTGATCACTCTGTGTTTTATCGGCATTCAACACCAAATTTGTGTATTTATTTGGTTGTTTACGTTGATAATATCGTTATCACCGGCAATGATCAAGTTGGTATCGCTAATTTGAAGCAATATCTCTTTCAGCATTTCCAAACTAAAGACCTTGGCAGATTGAAGTATTTTCTTGGTATTGAGGTTGCTCAGTCTACATCAGGTATTGTTATTTCTCAATGCAAGTATGCTTTAGACATTCTTGAGGAGACATGAATGATGAGATGTAAACCCATTGACACTCCTATGGATCCTAATGTTAAACTCCTTCCAGGACAAGGGAAGCAACTCAGTAATCCTGAAAGGTATAGACGGTTGGTTGGAAAGTTGAATTACCTCACTGTGACTAGACCGGACATCTCTTTTCATGTGAGTGTTGTAAGTCAGTTTATGACTTCTCCTTGTGATAGTCATTGGGATGCAGTTGTTCTTATTCTGCGATATATAAAGTCAGCTCCTGGTAAAGGACTACTCTTCAAGGATCAAGGCCATGAGCATATCACCGGATATACAGACGCTGATTGGGCTGGATCACCCTTTGATAAACATTCTACATCTGGATATTGTGTTTTAGTTGGAGGTAATTTGGTGTCATGGAAGAGTAAGAAACAAAGTGTGGTTGCTCGATCCAGTGCAGAAGCAAAATATTGAGCAATGGCTGTAGCAACTTGTGAGCTAGTTTGGATCAAACAGTTGCTTGGAGAACTGAAGTTTGGAGAAACCGGTCATATGGAACTTGTGTGTGATAATCAAGCGGCCCTTCATATTGCATCAAATCCAGTGTTTCATGAGAGGACTAAGCACATTGAGATTGATTGTCACTTTGTAAGAGAAAAGATACTCTCAGGAGATATTGTTACCAAATTTGTGAAGTCAAATGATCAACTTGCAGATATCTTCACCAAGTCTCTTACCGGTCCTCGTATTAATTACATTTGTAACAAGCTAGGTACATATAATTTGTATGCACCAGCTTGAAGGGGAGTGTTAGAATAGAATAGGAAAACACAATCCTACACAAACTAGGAATAGTTTATAGTCTCCTATTTGGTAAGGAACTGTATTATATAGTGTCTATAAATAGGGTTCTCTATGTAATTATTAGAACAACAATTCAATAATATTTTTCACATATATATTTCTCACATAGTTTAACCTATTCAAACAGAAATACTTCACCATATCTTCATTGAAAGCAGGAACTGTTTTATACAGGAGATGAAACAGAAACTGCCATAGAATATTAAAAAGATTGTTTTTTTCTTCAATGCACAGATCCTCACCTGTGGAAAAGGAATACACTTGCTCTCGGGTACATGTCCACTATTAATTCCTTTTCGAGGCTCTGGTGCAACACCATCAAACCTAAAACAGTGCAAAACAAAACTCCAGATGACTAAACTCTATGAAAAAAATTAAGCTTGCATAATGAACTCTAGAAAATTTACACATTAAACAATTACAGTTGCTTCAGTCTACTACAGTTGATTATTAATTTATTCCCTCTATTACCTCTTCTTAATAAAAGTTTTTTTCCTAATATTACGGCCAGGTGTTTACAGCGAGAACTTGAAAGTGAATCATTCAGTGGTGGGGTCTTCATAGAACAGAAGGCCTCGCCCAAGGAGTTGAAGATTTGGATGGAGTCTCGCTCATAGAGGAAGAGTACATGCATCTTTAAATATCCAAATTAAAAAACAATTTCCCCACAACATCATATCTTAAGTATGTAGAGTATAGGTATCACATTTACGTAGCTTTGTTTTAAACTCGAAACCTGCAGAGAGCGGTGTTTGCATTGTAATTTAATGGGAAAAGAAGATATGCACAACTACTCGTTCTTGGACAGAATCCACTCGTAACAGAAATGACTATACAAAAAACAATTGCAGTTCTTGAAAATAAAAATGACTAAGAGAGTAACTTCACCAAAACAACTTGAAAATGTAAATCTGCCCTACCCTGTAAAAACTATTCTAGAACAGATGATTTTTTCCTAGACCATCATCATACAAGTACCTATGAACATTATATATCAATCCTTTTTTATTCGTAAACAAGGAATTGACGCCACAAAGGGAAAAATCCTACAAAAGAAGTTAATGTGAGAATTGCTCCTTGACATCACTCAAAGAAAGAAGCTAGTAATATTCTAAACATATAAAGAGAAGTGGTTTTCCTTTCTAAATCTTATACACATACATGTCAATGCATATCAAGCAATCAAATGGCTCTAAACTGGGGCCGCAAGCTGTGACATCTAGAAGAGTATAGTCAACAGTTCTGCTTATGCTTGGCATCATAGGCACCCTAGTTTCTTATATGAAAAATTTGAGGTTTTGCATTTTCTAGAGTTAATGGGCTCATTTGGATAAGGACTTACCTATGGTGTTCATTGACCTAAAAAAGGCTTATGATAAAGTCCCAAGAGAGGTTCTATGGAGGTGTTTGGAGGTTAGAAGTGTACCGGTGGCAATCAGTAGAGTGATTCAAGACATGTACAATGGATCCAAGAGCTGGTAAGAATAGTGGGAGAAGACTTAGAACACTTCTAAGTCATAATGGGGTTGCAACAGGGATCCGCTCTTAGCCCGTTTCTATTTGCCTTGGTGTTGGATGAGTTGACGCGTCATATCCAAGGAGAGGTGCCATGGTGAATGTTATTTGCAAATGACATAGTACTGATTGACGAGACTTGCGGTGGAGTTAACGCTAGGCTGGAAGTTTGGACACGAATCCTATAGTCTAAAGGGTCCGGGTTGAGTGGGACCCAAACAGAGTGCTTATAGTGCAAGTTCAGTAATGAGACACACGACGTTGGCATAGAAGTGAGGCTTGATAAGTCGGTCATCCCCAAGAGAGGAAGTTTCAAATATCTAGGGTCTTTATCCGGGTGAAATCATTCTTGTCTTATTAGACATTCTTGCCTTTAGATTCTTGCTTGCTTGTGCTTTGATTCCTGCCCTAACTATTCTTGTGTATAGTTCTCTCAGGCTTTAGTGTTATCATTCTTGTCTTATTATATGTATCATGTACTTGCCTTTGGATTCTTGCTCATTTGTGGTTCGGTTCCTGCCTTGTTGACTTTGGTCCTTAGATTCTTGCTTTGTCTTTACTCTTGAGTATTGATTCCTGCTCATTTTGATGTAAACCCTTGATTAGTAATTTTATTTAATGGCTCTAGTGAATGATGGTAGACCGAGGTCATGTTCTCAATCGGGGACAGAGGCTAGGGTCAGGGATGGTAAGTGGGTTATGAGATCTTCTAGGTTAAGAGTGGGGTCTTGGAACATAGGGACTTTAATGGGGAAGTCCATAAACTAGTGAAGATTCTCAAAAAGAGGAGGATTAGTGTAGCTAGTGCCTAGGAGACCAAATGGGTAGGTACTAAGGCGTTAGATGTGGACAGGTATAAATTCTGGTACTCTTTTTTTTTTTGATAACCGAGAAATCCGTCTGTGACCCGACCTTTGGACCAATCACAGCCTTTTAAACTCGGTGGATAATGGGCCCACCCCTCTACCCTTATGGTACTCAGTAGTCTTGAGGAATACAAATGGAGTAGGAATCTTAATAGATAGAGAGCTAAGGGGGCAAGTGGTAGAGGTTTGGAGGATCAACGACAGGATGATGATGATTAAGTTAGTCATTGGCGGGTCCACTTTGAAGATCGTTAGTGCATACGCACCGCAAGCGGGCTTGGGCGAAGAGGACAAGAAGCGATTTTGACAAGGTATACCGCTCACTGAGAAGTTATTCATAGGAGGAGATTTCAATGGACACATCGGGTCAACTCAACGGGGCTATAACAAGTGCATAGAGGTTTTGGTTTCGGGAATGGGAACAAAGGAAAAGGCTCACTTTTGGATTTTGCAGGAGCTTTTGGGTTGGGGTAGCCAATTTGAGTTTCTCAAATAAGGAGGAGAACTTGATAACTTCCATAGTACGTTGGGTAAGACAAATAGACTATTTTCTCCCTAAGAAAGATGATAAAGGTCTTTGTAAAGACTACAAGGTTATCCCGAGTGAGACTCTTATAAACCAACATAAGCTTTGGGATGGACATCTGGTGTGTGGACAATTTAATCTAGGGGTCCATTATCGGTAAACATTAATTGGGATGGATCCTGCTCTGATGCCATGTTAAATTACGCTTTGGGCCTAACTCAAACCCAAAAGCTAGCTCAAAGGTAGGATTGCTCAAGCCTATAAAAAGACCGCATATCCCTTTTTTATTTGATGTAGGTCACTTCAACAACTATCGTATTATTCAGTTGTAGCCACTGTTTAGAATGGTTTGTCATAGTTTCTTCACTTCTGTTATTTCCTATTTCATACTACTTTGAACCATTTTTTCTTGAGCCGAGGATCTATTGGAAATAGATTCTCTACCTCCAAGGTAGGGGTAAAGTTTGCATACACTACCTTCCCTAGACCCTACTTTGTGGGATTACAATGGGTATGTTGTTATTGTTGTTTAATCCAAAAGAATGAGAGATCGATGATGATCTCACACATCGTATTGAACTATAGGTGTTGGAAGGATGAAATAGAGGCTCACCTCTAGAGTCTTGTGTGATAAAAATACACCACCAAAAACTTAAAGGCAAGTTTTATCGATAAGTGGTTAGGCCAACTATGTTGTATGGGGCGGAGTGTTGGTCAGCTAAGAACTCACATGTCCAGAAGATGTGAGGTGCGGAAATGAAGATGTTGTGGTTGATGTGTGGGCATGAGATAAGATTAAGAATAAGAATATCTAAAACAAGGTGGGAGTGGCCCGTGTGGATAGGATAAGAGAAACAAGGCTAAAATGGTTCAGACATGTGAAGAGGAAATGCACAAATGCTCTATTTAGGAGGTGTGAGAGGTTGGCAATTGTGGGTTCAAGGAGAGGTAGACCAAAGAAGTATTAGAGAGAGGTTATTAGACATGACATGGTGCATCTTTAGCTTACCAAGGACATGATTTTAAATAAAAAATTATGGAGATCACGGATTAGGGTAGAATATTAGTAGGTAATTAAGTATTGTCTCGCTTTCCTTTTTTTTGAGACAAAGTACTGTCTCGCTTTCCTGCCGGAAAGGTTTGGTGGTAGTGTAGAGCAGTGTACTTGTTCTCTCATTCTAGTAGTATTAACATTTGTTCTCGTAGTTCCTTGCCTTGTAATTTCTGCCGCTGCCTGTTATTTCTCGTACCTCGATTGTCGCATTATTTTGCTATTGCTACTCTTCCTTTTTTTGAATGTTAAGTAATGCTTTCCCTATTTAATATGTCTACTTCACTATTGTTTTCCCTTTTTAAACTGCTTTGAAACGTTTTACATGAGCCGGGGGTCTATCGGAAACAACCTCTCTACCTTCTCAAGGTAAGGGTAAGGTATGCGTACACTCTACCCTCCCCAGACCACACTCATGGAATTACACTAGGTATGTTGTATAAAGAGAACATATATAAGCACCTCAACTTGCCTATTTCCCACATTATGTAATGAGTGGTCCCTAATAACTCAAGACTCCATGACCGTGGTAAACTTGAGCATTGTTAGGAAAGATATAATGGCAACATTTTCAGATTCCATCCTTTCTCGACGGTAACCACTAATAATGTTTATCTAAGTTTTCCTACTCACTAAGCACATCAATTGCAGCCATTACAAAATGTTCAAGTTGGCTATGCCAACATTCATATTAGGAGAAGAAGTTTCTGTCTACATGTCCTAAAGATAATGTAGCATAAGAAAGAAATACATGTACATATAACAGCAATCTAATTATCTAAATCACAAGACGTGCCAAAATTTATTACTCCGACCTTTCTAACCATACAACAAGACAGCAGCCTCTCTTTGACTAGCATATGGAACTAATTGTTTATAAGGAAAGCATCCAACAAGGCCCTATAGATGACAAGACATGCCAAAAGATATTACTCTCTAATCAAACGAGATATTTAACAAGGCACAAAGACAATTTAACTTGCATATTGAACTAACTGTTGCAAAGGAAAGCATAACCTCATTATTTAAGTTTGAAGTTGAACTCTTAGAGTATAGGATGGTCAAATTAAACATCACTATTATTCATAACATGTGCCAAACATTTTCAGACTTAATGTGTCACATAAATTAGGAGGGAGAAGTAAAATCTAAAAGTAAATCCACAAGGGTTGTAATTGCTTCAAAAGATAATTGACAAATAAAATCTACTCTCATCTTCATGTGAGTGTTGTTGAACAAATAGCTTAGCATATTAGTCAATCACATTTTAAAAAATGTGTTTGCAGACATCATGGAGTACCTAGCTTTGGATCGAGCATCTATAAGCTGATATGTCTTTACTTGAATGTTCCTTTTAACCTGAAAATATACACAAATCATATCTCCATATCTATAGCTAAGCTAGAAGTATTCTGATAAGAATACATACATTTATGGAGAATATATTGAAAATTCAATCTTTCTGACCTATGTTAAGTGACAAGATTGTGTTCACATTTTTTCCAGTATTGGACTATCATACAATCATCAAACTATTAACCTTCACAAAGAGCAGCTATAACCAGAATCCCCGAACAGACCAAAGTATTCCGTAGAAAACAACCTCCAATGGTCATAGTTCTAGTCCTCCTAGATTTTCTTCACAAACTTCATAGAGTTGTCCCAGTAAATCAGGGAAACGGAGGTAGATTTTTGCGAACAAAGTTGCACTAAGGACAAATATCAACCAACAAGCTTACAATCTAATACCCACTAAATCACAGTCCACTTGTAGTTCCATTCATGTTTACCTTTTGTTTTGCTTTTTGAACTGTAAATATTGTTCCTAGCATAGTCTTTGTGCTGGAGACTTTATAATACTACTCTTACCTTTCTCTAAAAAAAATAATCTAATTTTAAGCAGTTGGATTTTGAATACAGTCTGAATGTCAATAATCCAAAAAAAGTCCTCGCCATTACCATCAGCTTCATGATACATGGCTAGATGCAACTACCACCAAGTGCTGTAGGCAGAAAGCAATCAAGGAAACCAACCTGATCAAGAGTCCAGACAAGATGAGGCTGAAACTTGGTCTGGAAGGTAGTAGGGCCAACCTGCACATTAGAGGTTCTAAGAGAAACATTAAAACCATATAACATTAAATGCACAACGTCAGAAAATACGAAGAGAGGGAGAAAGAAAATGTACCGAAAAGTTCTACACGGCAAGAAAAACTGATGTTTCAACTTTATATTCATGAATTCCAAGTGGACAAAGAGTGATTGAAAAGATATTTTCATCATATACATCCCCAATAAAACAAAGAATTAAGGAAATGGGAACTTGTCAAACATCAAATCATTCACTTCATCCTATGGAAGACAACTATAGTTCCTTGAAACTTTTGTAAAGTATAGTAGTCTTTAATACTTGTATTTTTGGAACAAAGGGGATACAATTAAGGAGCAAGCAAATATGATGGCCTTGATTGACTCTTTAAGCATATACTAGGAGTTCTTAAGTCCATCTCTGTAATTTTTGTATCACCTGGGTACTGTTTTCACTTTTCAGTAAATTTACTTATAAAAAGGATAGATTTTCATTTGAGTAACATAATGAGAGAACTGTTTCTTAAATCGGTTAAGGAGAAAAAGAATCTAAAAAGATAGTCTGACTTGAATTTCAAACAAAAGTTGCCCAACCCTTACATAATGAACGGTTAGACATGAACAAGGTGAGTCTGTGGAGCCCTCCAGATATTCAAGAAGCACCAACAGAGTCACTACTTAAGCATTATTTGGAATGATGCAGCAAAAGTCCCGAGAAGACAATAAAACTCAGAGAACCTCACCCTATTGCTTCAAAAGGTGGAAATGGAGAAATGTTTATCTTACCATCTGTTCTTGGTATACTTTCTCAATTGCCTCAGTGGCAGCACTAGCTTTCAGAATGGCATCACCGGGTGACTCGACATCATAACCTGAAGCACGCCATCTTGGCAAGCCACCATCTAAAACCCAAACTTTGTCATGTCCAAAAGCTCGAAACATCCTGATTACCCATTTTCCATTGATTAGACACTTTTGGATGATATGAACTTATCCGCCTTTTATCATCAGTTTAATAACTCACCACCAAACACGGGCAGCACTGAAAATGCCCTTGCCATCGTATACAACAACCCCATCTTTGTTCTCGATACCAAGAGCAGATACAGCAGCTGCAAATGCTTCTTCGGACGGCAACATATGTGGCAACTGATAAATCAACAAAGCTTTTCTATCATAAAAGGTGATGAAATCTATCTCAAAAGCATGCCGGATGGCTAACTGAAGCATCTATTACAGTATAGGTAGAAACATATATGGGACAAAAATGAAACAAAAAATGGTACAGTAGAAGAGAAACTGAAACCAGAGAAGGTTTAGTAATTGCAAAGATTATGTCGAGCAAATCACTCTTTCCAGAGGAGAAATAACTTAGCAGGGAAGATATCTCACATTTGTAGTTCGATCCGTTATTCCGTCTATATCAAAGAATAGTGCTCCAGGAATGCAAGAGACCTGCTCAAGTCGAAGTTAGAAAATTCTACCAGAAAACAGAAAGAAAGTGACTGTTGAACAAAATTACCATAAATGTGACTGAGAAAATGAAAATTGCTTATCTGTGAACATATTTACTAGAAAGCAATCAGTGATTCAAGATAAAGCAGTGTCATTCAAAAAAGAATTTCTTAGGAGTCAGCACCTGATACTCCTGGAGTGGATTTCTCTGCTCATCTGGCATGTACCAAGATGCATCTAACACCTTTAGAAGAATAGGAAAAAGAAGCAACATCACAGTACTATTTGACAGATGCCTTACATAATACAACCAGCACCACACCCAAAAATTGGAAGAGAAAGAAAACACGCGTAAATGTGTTGCTAAATAGAAATGAACAGAAACGCAAAAGAATTGTCCTTTTTATAGGCATGAGTTGAGTGAACAAATAATTGCAACTTCAGATTTAATATTTAGAGCAGCAAATGTAGTTTAGACAATTGTAGTAACGGCCATACTATCACCATCTTATTCTTTACCAAGTATTTTGACTGCTAAGACTGAAAAGATCAGAAACCTTTAAGTCGGGGTCTCTGATGTTTGCATGGAGCCAGTCAACTGAAACAACAGGTTCGTTGGTTGATATTGCTAGTGTTGAGAATGATGGTTGTGCGCCAACCGTTGAGGAAGCCATATAACGAGTAAAATAACCCTTAACCTTGTTAGAGTAGTAAGTTGGAGCTACTTGCGAGTGAAATGGTTTCCTCTGCAAGGATTAAGTTAATGATGAACATTCTTGCCAACTTCCCAAGAAAAATAAAATTCAAGAATATACCAGCCAGAAAGTGGTGCTGCTGATAAAGAGTTTTCACATGACTTAAAAGAAATCACAATTTTCCCATGCACTAAAATTCCAATAACTCTTAATCTTAACCTATCCAGTAAGAGGAATAAAGCCACATCTTAAATTTTAAGCTTTATCCACTAATGAGACTGTAACTCGCAAAAGATGAAAAATTAACAAAAACCTGTACCCCTCCACTTCTATTTGTTTGTGTTATTTTCCTATTTAGTTTCAAGTTCCTTTTTGAAACTTCCCATACACAAGATTAAATGACATTTTCGTACATATCTTTAGTTTGCCACAACATTAAAAAATCTCTTTATTTTCTTAAACTTAGTGTCAAATTCAAAACCAAACAATCAAATTGTTAGTTAAATCATTGATGAGCCATGAAAGTATATAAGTAACAATTTTGATAGTGCCAAGAGAGATATCAAGACAAATGAATTGTGCATTGAGAAACGAAAATATCACACAAAATCAAAATCTGCAACTCCAGAAAAACCTGGTTTCAAAGTAATTGAAGAAAAATGCAAATCAAAATCAAGATGAAGCAAATTGAATAGAAATCACAGAAAGGAAATCAAAGAGGATGAGATATAGCGAACTTACGGTAAAAGCGGAGAGAAGAAATTGGGGAGTGAAAAAAGACAGAGAGCGGAAGATTTAAAGAAGAGAGATCTTTCACAATTCCCCGTTTTAATCTTACAATTAATTCTTTAAAAAAGAGTATACGAGTTTGTAAAGTTGTAAGCAAGTTTCTTAAAGGGTATATTAGTAAAATAAATTTTCTTATTTATGATTTATTTTAAAAGAGAAAAGTCTAATATTTAATATGAGACGATTGGTCATATCATTTTTATTTGTATGTTAATGTTAATTATCCTCACAACATGAACGATTTAAGTGGAGAAAGTATTCTAGGTCTTATAATTTAGAGGTGAAACGTAAAAGTTATATATTATTATCTTTCAACAACAAAAGATTGTATTGCAATTCAAATTTAAATTTTATATTTTAAATTAAATGGTATGTTATTACTAATCATAGTAAATTTGAATAATTAAATAGAATGACCATTTAGTCAAATGTTCTAATAAAAAATAATCCAATCTGTTAATTACCAAGAATCTATACTTGATCATTAAGTAATCAATAGAAAGATCATTTGATCATTACCTAATTATGTCTATGTCTACTCATATCTTCTCCGACACTTGGGTAAGTTCAAATAATAAAATTTGATATCGCCACACATATGAATTATTTTGAGTGAATAATGTATCTAAAAGAATAGAAATATTGAGAGGAGATCATGTAATCTAAATTTTAGGATTGTTTAGTGGAGATTTAAATCGAATGTCCATTGAAATCTGTCATTAAAATATTTTGAACCTCAAATTCAAAATTTGATCTGTCGCAAATGTGAATTAGTCATTTATAGTGAATATACAATATATTAAAAGAATTAAAACATCGAAAGTTGTCCATATATATAATTTAGGATTATTTAGAGAAGATTTGAGTGAATAGTAAATCTAAAAGGATAAAAAAAAATCTCAAACAATATAACTAGCTTTAGTTTCTTTCCAACATAATTTATAAATCAATCAAAATCGAACAACATTTCCTTCAAAAAGGAACATCAAAAGATAGAACTAACAGAAATAAAATAAAAATAGGATATAGCTAAGGAAATAACATAAATATTATAAAATCATTCAAAAGCCCAAGCATTCTCTCTACGGACCTCCTCCTCTTCCTCTGGGGTATAATCATTCACGATACCAAATACTTCACGTATTTCCTCTATTGGTTTCCCTTTGATCCTATCAAAAAATTCTTGGATTATTACCTCCTTTAATTGGTTATCATCAAGATATTTAGCAGCCAAGTGAACGTCATGTAATTCTGAGTGACTCATCTTCAAGAAATCCTGATCAAAATTCTTTAACTGGACTTCTGTAACACCTTCCTCTGAATGTTTCTTCCAATATTTAACCACCTTTGTCATTGTTTTGCCATCAATATTGAGCAAGGGGATGACATTAGAAGTACAATCAACGTCTTGTACTATGTTCTTGATGATTTCTGACTTTATAGCTACAGTCTTGTCGAGTTTGAATTCCTCATTATCGTTAGTCTTAAGAGTTATGAGCTTTCCTAAAGACATCATAAAGAAAATGAAGAGAGCTATGAATGAATGATTTCAATACATAGGCTAGCTTGGTCTTTTATAATGTATTAGGTTTTAATTACTTTCCAAAGTTCTTATAGGAATATGAAAAGCAAAATATTAAATAGATCAAAACTTATTATTTTTCCTTTTTTGAAGGTCAATTAATTTGTTTTACAAAATCTACATAGTCAATCTTAGATTATTAGGATATTGATATGATTAAAAGTTGGCATAATACATAAATGTGCCCTTTAACTTGGCCTCATTTTATGTTTATGTCCTTCAACTTTGGGTATGCACAAGTAGACACTTAAACTTGTATAAAGTTAAACAAGTAGACACATTTGTCCTACATAAAACAATACACGTAGGACACCACGTAGGATAAAAAATGACATGTAGGACATGCGTGTCTATTTGTTCAACTTTATACAAATTTAAGTGTCTACTTGTGCATACCCAAAGTTGAAGAACATAAATGTGATTTGAAGTCAAGTTAAAGGGCATATTTATGTATTATGCCTTAAAAGTTACAAGGAAAGTTCTAAACTCATCGTTTCTTTAATCATTAACTAGAAGACCACTCATTTCTAATAGTTAAAATCGTTCTGACTACATTTCCAACAAAAGTAAAGAAAAAATTAAAATAATTAATTAATCTAGTATTTTTCTAGTATACTTGTCCACATTATTAAAAATAGTTGTCCTAAATTACTTATTAAGATAAATTAATTAAATTTCTCCCATTTTACTCTGACAATTAATTCTTTTCGAAAGGGTAAACAAGTTTGTAAAGTCTCCAACAAATTTCTTGAAAGGTAAATTAATAAAACTAACTTTCTTATTTATGATTTTTTTTATAAAGATATGTAAAGAGAAAAGTTTAATATTTAATATGAGACGGAGGAAGTAACATTCATCATATTATTTTGGGGAAAAGGCATAGATTTCTCCCTGAACTTGTCTCGAAAAGTCAGCTACACGCTTAAACTATTACAATGACCTATTACACACCTTTAATACTGAAAAATGAATTTATCACCACCCTGAGACGTGTAATACCACTCTCACATTATGTGGTGTATTACACTTGCCACATCAGCGCCATGTCATAAATTATAAAAAAATTCTTTTCTTTTCTTTATTAATTAAATTTTCTTTTGTTAACTATATTTACTCTAATTAATTCCTAATTAATTACTTTAATTCTCTAATAATTATATCTTCTTCATCACTAAATCACACCCATTTCAATTCTCATTTCATCGGAAAAATCATATTCGACCACCTTCACTATTGATTTTGTTCTTCACCACTACTATATCACCTTCAATTCTTCTTCTTCTCTGTCACCCAACACCAAATATCACCACCACCATTATTAATATCGATTTTTTCTTCATCACCATCTTCAATTACCTCTTAAATTTTTGTCACCCACCACCCATCACCACCAAACCCATAAAGTTGCTATCACCACTAAACCCAAAAATTGATCAACAACAAAGATTTCTTTAACAAAGTCAAAAAAATGACAAAGATAGAAACAATCAATCGAAACTTTTCTAGATAAAATACAATTATAAACTAACAAATCTATGAGAATTAACCTTATTGCGAATAAAAAACAGTTGTGCTTTAAGATTGTGATAAAAAAATTAAAGAAGTGTGATGAAAATAGAGAATGAAGAAAAAGAGGACAATGGGTGGGGTGTGAAGAAGAAGAGGTGTGGGGGTGGGGGTGGAAAAAAAGATTCTAACTTTTTTTTTTCACTTTAATTTCAAACTGGCACACCTATTTTTTATTTTTGTTTTATTTTTTTGCCATGTCAGTTTTAGGGGGTAAGAAAATTTACTTTTGAGTAGTATAAGTGTGTAATAGGTCACTATGATAATTTAAGCGTGTAACTGACTTTTCGGGACAAGTTCAAGGGGAAATTGATGCAGTTTCCCTATTATTTTGTTTGTATGTTAATTGTCATCCCAACATGAACGATATAAGTGGAGAGACTATTCTAGGTCTTATAATTTAGAGAGAAAAATACATCATTACCCCATTCAATTATAACACATTTCTTAAAAGATACTGAAATTTAGCAAAGATCCTAATATCTTCTTGACTAATTTAAAAGTGGTAAAAGTATCCCATTTTTCGATCAATCTCACGTATAAAAGATGACTTTTAACTTTTTAGCATTTCTTTAACTTTAATTTTTCACATAAAGTGTTTAAGAAAATAAGATTAAATAATTATTTTGATATATTCTACATATATTTAATTTAAGTCGATAAAACTAAAAAAAAGAGAGTAATTTTTCGTTTAAGGCTTTATTTAAATTTTTGAAAACTTTTAAAAATTTACAAATGAATTAAAAAAAAAGAAAGCCTTACGCATTATAAGGGAGAATTCCATCATCATCATCGTCTAGAATTCAAAATCTTCTTCATTTTATTTTTATATATACTTACCTTTTTTTTTCTTCTTTCAGATAATGCCACATATATGTGGTTTATACTCTAATATTTTATTTTATAATTGGGATTGAGATAGATTATTTCTATCCTGTTTGATTATCTCAGTATTTATTTTTTAATTTATTTTTTTGAGTATCTCAATATTTATTTCTTAATTATCTTTTAAAAAAAATCCATCAACAACATTTTTTTTGCAATTTGAATCTTGAATCAATATTCAATTTAATTTTCTCGTAACAGTGAGAGAGCAAGAGCTATTAATTTAGTGGTTAGGTAAAATTTTAGCTAATAGATATTTTATTTGTTTTTTATAGCATAATCAATAATTTGTTTGCTTATAAGTTAAATAGTTAGACTATATTTTCAATCACTAAGTTGTTTGTATAAATAGCTATAATTTCTTTTCAATCTAATTTATAAATCAATCAAAAATCAAAGAACAATTATATAAAAATAAACATCAGAATGTAGAACTAAATAAAATAAAACAAGATATAGCTAACTAGACTGTTTTAATTCTAAAATTAAAAAAATAACAAAAAAATAACAGTAATGTTATTAAATCATTCAAAAGCCCAAGCATTCTCTTTACGGATCTCCTCTTCCTCCTCTGGAGTAAAATCGTTCTTGATATCAAATTCTTTACGTATTTCTTCTGGTGTTTTCCCTTTAATCCTATCAGCAACTTCTTCACACATCATATCCAATATCTCCTTATCGTTAAGAAAATTAGCAGTTAAGATAAGAGCATGCAAAATCGAGTGGTGCACCTTCACAAAAGCCTTGTCAAACTCCATCAACATGTCTTTGGAGACGTCTTCCTCCGAATGTTTCTTCCAGTATTCAATCACTTTGGTCATTGTTTTGCTATTGACATTAGGCAGGGGAATGACGTTTGAAACACAATCGTCTTCAACCATATTCTTGATAGTTTGTGACCTCACAGCTATCGCCTCATCGAGTACAAATTCCTTACCATCACAAGTCTTTAAAGTTAAGAGCTTTGTGGAAGAAGACATGATGGTCAATATATATTTGAAAAGATGTTAATTTGGTTTTGTTGAGAATAT